GCACCTTTTAACAGATTTTTACTTCTTCAACAAAAATGTGCAGGGGGGCTGAACTGAGAACCTTCTTGCCTTTTTCTGTCATCACTAGGAACAACAATCTGGCTTAGTCATTGCCTGCAAGGAGAGTACCCCCATTTATTCTCCCTTCTCTAGCCTGGTGTCTGACTAGATAGCAGCTTGCAGTCAAGAAAGAAGGAGAAAATCTTCCCTCCACAGAATGAGCGAGAATTTTGGAACTATTGACTTCACAGGAGACAAAAATGAGGAAGCAGGACAGGCAGATATAATGAGCGGTACAGAAAGGATGGCAGTGTCCATCAGATATTTTTTTTAAACAACACAAGAAGAAAACAAGTTCAAAATTAAACAGCTGAGTTAAGACTGATAATTTCTCCCCAAAAAAGAAGTTTTGTCAACACTGTAGAGTACAAATTATGAATTGAAAGAGGACTAAACACCTATCTACAGATAAATATTTCCATTTGTAGATATTGTGTACAAGTACATATGTTTCTAAATATTTATATATCCAGATCATCTGTAAATAAAAGTTTTTGAAGAGCTACCGAACCCCATGCTCATATCCTCCCCAGCCAGCAGGTGAAATAGGTTTTTCCATACACCTTTCCTATATGCCTGCTGCTGTTTATTTCCTAACTTCATCAGGACCTGCTGTAGAACAAGACTTGCTTTACATTCATGAAACTCATCATGAGCAGAAAAGGTTTTGCCCCTACCATTTGAAACAAACCAACAATTAGTATTTCATTGAGGATGGCTCTTAACAGCTTGCAATCAGTATTTTTCCATCTGTGAATATTATAAATATGCTTAGCTACAAGTCTGATTTGACCAAAGTATTGAATATGCCAATAATTGCAGGAAAAGCCTGAACATCACTTAAAAAGATACAAAGAACAAGCTTAAAAGCAACTTCAGACAACTTCCCTGTCATCAGCCGTTGCATAATATTAGAGAAAGCCTTGATTGAGGACAGTAAATACTTATTATCTGCTGCATCCTCTTATCCAGGACACTATTGTCAGTGCTGCAGTGGGAAGTCATGTCAACTGAAGGAAATGCATTTTGAAACTAATGAAGCTGGTCAAGCTGTTCTCTTATGAAGCCTTCAAGTTCAGTCCCAAAGAATTTACGTCCTGCATGCCAAAGGGTTTGGCATTCACAGCTAGCAGAGCAGGAGGAGTTGAACTGGCACTGTACAGAACAGACCTCTGGCCAAGTGACCACACTAGTTTGGAGATTACTGGGTGTAAACTTCAAGGTTGCTCAAGGGTATCTGTTTTCAGGTGAAGAACACATCCGAATGTTCACTTATTTTTACACCTTCAGCCTCTCCCTCCATATTTTCAAAGGATATGGGAGTCTTAGCAGGTAGGAGAAGTCCAAGGACAGCCCCAGCCTTTCTGATGGTATAACTGAAGCCATGGACCTTAAATGCATCTTGGCTGTCTCTGGCACTGCTGAACACACATGCAACAACGTCCTCTTAAGAGAGTTTAAATACAGCGGTCAGAAAACTGCAAAGTTGGAAGTGATAGAACCATGCTAGTGTACCACAGCTGGGCAGAGTTAATCCTCATATGTTTTCCTCCTCACTGAGAGGTTGTGGAGATGGAAAAAAAGGGGGAAAAAGAAAATGAACAAACTAAGTATGGCAATATGTGGTAACTAAGTATGGTAACATTTGATAACTAAGTATGGTAATATTTTTCACAGTAAACTGTGAGAAACTCCTGGACCAGCCACTACAGAGGAAAAAGAAATTGTACTTTTTACATCACAAAGCACAGCAATGTTGCCAAGATAAATTGTATTTTGAGCCTAATTAATCCTCCTTAATCTGTATAGACACCAAATATAGAAGTGAGGGTGTCCTATGTAGCATGCAAGACGCTCCCTGCTGCGATGCAAGAGCAGCACTTCAGTTTAGTGACATTAAGCCCCAAGCAGATACTATTTGTTCAGCCACACTGCATTTATACCTTTCCTTCCCACGCTAAACATGTGCCTTGAAAATCCGGCCGGGCATACGCTCAGTGCCTGCATTCACACTGTGACACCGTGCTTCTCTAGAGGAAAAAAAATCCCAGAGATTCTCCTTCCTGCTTCAAAGATGTTGCAGCTTCGGCAGGTTGAAGCAACATTCCACGTATTAGGGATGTCTTTGGGAGATTAACTCAAATTCTGCCCGCTGTGGCATGCACATCTCAGTTCCTGAAGGCTTGTGCTTACATGTCCAACTGGTTTAATGGTGTGGCTTAGGGTTGTCCCTATCCACTTAGGGAAGCTCACCAGGAGGAGGGTATTTGTCTGCATCCTCCCATGCCAGAGAGCAGGGCACCCATGTTTGTGCAAGATCACTGCTCTTATTCCACAGCAAAATTGCACATTTTCCAGCTAAAGAACATGACATCTAAAGGGCTCCTAGAGTGATTCACTAACAGAATGAACCCACTGGGACATTTGGAGCAGAGCAAAAACCAGTATCCACCAACTGGAAAGCCCAGTACTGAGTAGCTGACTCGTTTGGGCTAGGAGCAGCTGAGGGTGGAGTTCAAGCCTCTGTGATACAACTAGTACTGAGGGGTGACAGGGGATTGCAGTCCTACCAGGAGATCTCTGTCCCTCAGGTGGGGTATGCAGGGCTGCTCTGCTTGCTAGAGGCACCAATGCCAGACACAGGTTGCAGCACTGATGCTGTGCTGAGATAGCAGCACTGATCAAAACATGTGGGAAGTTGGGTGAAAAGGATTTCCACAAAACCTATTGAGAAGAGCACCAGGGTTCCCTAAAAAGTGCTTCTCTCTTACTGATTCACCATCATTTTTTAATGCAGGTTTTGAGCCTTCTTTGGAATCTAATTAAGGCCCTAATCAGTTTAAATGATGAAAAACTTCCCCAACACCAGCATATCAAACACGCAGAAGCAACAGTTCTGCTCCTGTCAAAGCGAGGCCGACTTGCCTTTGCTCAAGTGAGGGCACCATGCTGAGTAAAAAGGAAAAATCACGTTCTTCATCAGCACTTCACAGTGAAATTTAAGTTGTCAGTTCCTCATGGGAAATCCTGATGCAACACCCAAACTGTCCCTGTGCAGCGGAGCTTGGTGAATGTTTAATTATGCCTCAGAACAAACACACATCGCTGCATGGGGGCTGCGAGGAGCCACCCGAGCTGCATGCTAAGCTTCTCTGTCCCAGAAGCAGTTTCTTCAATAGCATTTGCTTATCAAAAATAATTAGAGGTAGAAATGCTGGAACTGTGATTATGAAACAAATGGCAAATCTATTTGCTGAGACGAAATGTATTGAAAGATACATCTAGACACAGCTGGAGACTGAGGTGATACCACAAGGATAACAACTCGAGATCCAATTTCATCTTTCATGATTAAAAAATGAGCAAGAAAGTGTTTTATGAAATGTGAAGGTTAACAAATGTTCCTTCACAAGCAATGACGACAGTTTATCTTTTGAAACAAATGATCAGGCTATGGTCTGCTAGCAGCTCCTGAAACACATTGGAAAGATTTCTGCTAAAAACCCACCAAGGACCAGCACACACAGCCAACAGCCCACTGAGCTGCCAACAGCTGGGGCAAAGCCAGCTCCAAAGCAATGCCACAGCAGTAGGACAGGAGTTGACCATGCTCCTGTCCTGACCTTCTGTCCCATGCCAATGTCCAGTTCACACCTTTCCCCACTCCCTGCAGTGGCCACAGCTCAATGACACCTGCCCACAGAGGAGTGGCACAGGAGGGTCCCAAACCTGCAAATTAACAACACACTTCAGCTGCATTTCTAAGCTGCCCAAAATATTCCAGGAGCCCTTTCTGTCTAAAGACAAGCTCTGCCAGCCCTGGAGTGATGAGGTAAGCAGTACCTGCTGCTGGGTAGCAATGGCTGGGTCTGGGTGACCTCAGGCAGGGAGAGCCCAGCTACAGGCTCCAAGGCACAGGGAGGGGGCAGCACAGCTCACCAGGTGATGTAGCACATATTGCTGAATGACACAATCAGCTCACAGGCAAATTCAAAGAAACACTGGTCTACAAAGAGATTATGAAACACCAATTTTTTTTCTCCTGGTCATTACATGGCAATACTCCTTTTGGACTACAGATATAAAAGGTGCATATATTTACATTTTTGGGTAAAGAATCAGTCGAGCTTTTGATTTTTCACATGATGGTTGACCTACTAAATATCAGTATAATATTCATATACAGAGGAAGTATA